CATGCCTCCAGCCACTGCTCTCCTCCCAGTCTGAGCCACCCACCCTCCCTCTGTGCTGCCCAAAATGACCCGCAATGCTGAGCCACTTCCAAAGCAGAGACAGATCAGCCACGAGGCCCCCTCTGGTTGCTTTGAGGTGAGAGGGCAGCCTTCTTCAGCCCCCTTGGTCTTACCCACTTTGCCTCTGCCCAGGGCCCCACCTCCAAATGTCTCCCGCCCACATCTGGCTCTCGTAAGGCTAGGGCAAACGTATTGCTCTCTGGTTCTTTGGCCAGGCACGGCCAGCCGTGTTTCCAGCTGAGAGGGTCTGCTAGAGTTTTTCTGCAGGGGGGGGGGAATTTCCAGGAGATGAGGGGGGGCTGCTTTTTAAAGCCGCTAAATGCCAGAGCTGGTTCAGGATGATGAACCCATCCCTTCCTCCACCTTGGTTAGTCCCATGCCCCTTGGCACGGCTCAGGCTGCCCACAGGTACCCTCGTGCCAGGCGGCTGCCCCATTTCTTAAGGATGCTGCAAGGGGAAGTTGTGGAGCAGATCGGGACACGGAGCCGCAGCTGGCAAAGAGGCAGAACTGGGTAGGGGCTAAGCCACCTTCCTGCACTTGTGCCAAGGAGATGCAGCCGGTTGGTGATTGCTTTGGTGCCACTGGAGAGACATGTGGGGCTGGTGCAAAAGCTGAGCTGCCTTCAGTTGTCGATCAGCATCTGCCAAGCTGATTTTGTGCCAAAAGTTGCATGCTCTTCCTGGGCACAAACGCTCCTTCTGAACCCCAGGCAGCCCCAGGCTCTGCTGGGTGATTCAGCTGGTCTTTACTACTTCAAAAGCTTCTTTGGTTCCTTGGCAGCTCAAAAATGGGTGGGCTTCAAATCCTGGAATTCCCCTATGAAAATAAGCAATAAAAATAATTGATTTGTTTTTCCAGGAAAGTGGGAAGTGCCTTTGGTTTATTTTTTGGGTGCTGGATTATGACTTCTTCATTTCAACTCTCCCTGAGGCCCCTTTGGCATCGCACCCAAGCTTCCAACCCCAAATGCCCTCTTGTGTTCCCCTCTGCTCTGCAGATTCCCAGGCCTCTCACTGAGCAAAGTCCGGATGCCACTGGCAAGGGGCACGGATGGGATTCTGCTGCTGCCCACTGCAAAGCTGCATTCCGGGGAACCTGGCCCCCTGTCCTGGCATCCGGTCCCAAAATAGAAAGGCTGTTCCCTTCCCCAGCGCTCATTGCCAAGGAAGAGTTGGACAGGCGTGGAATTGGTGTCCAACGTGCGGGGAAAGGAGGAACCTGTGAACACACAATCCTGGTCAAGGGGCCTGGAGAAAGGGAGATCCACAGGAGCAGTGGGGCAGCCAGCTTCAAGCCCAAAACAGATGTTTTCTGTCCCGGAAGAAGGGTGGTCAGAGAAGGGAAGCTGACCTGTTATTTGGACATCTAGGCCTTCTCCTCTGCCCTGCCTCGTCTACTTCTCCTGACCTCCGGCAAGGGGACCCACCCCTTCCTTTCCCCCTTCCTCTCTTTCCCCGGACGGGGAGGGTCTTCTGATGCCTCTTTTCCAAGGGAGAATATCGGATTGCATAACGGGAGGCCCCAGATCCAGATTCCAGGCCCTAGGATTTTATGTTCTGTTCTTGCCTGTAAGCTATTACCTAGTATGGAGTTACACCTTGTTTAAGCCTATGGTGAGCCTTGTTGAGAAAGGGAAATGAGGAGGCGGAGCCAGCAAAGACAAAGGTATAATAATTCTCGGATCAGGAAAGGAACGACCAGAAGTTGGTAAAAGTATTTTTGGGATGATGGAAGAGACTTACACAGAGAAAGATTTTTACACTCAAAGTTTTGATCCCAGGGACCATCTGGAAAAGTACTACAACGTTAGCCTTGTGGATGAAGGAATGGGTCAGTTTGTAACCTTTTTCCTGAGAGGGGCTCACAGGGCATTCACCGTAGGTAAGTCTTGACT